GAACCATTTGTATGCTTATGATGAGCTATTGAGGACAGTTTGATATATGGCGTTTGAGTCATGTATACAATAATTGTACCCCCTCCCCAAAGTCTACTCGTCCAAATGGCAAAAGAGACTTCAATTCATTTGGTATGCATATTGAACAACATCATTTAGGGCTGAAGAGTTTCAATGTTGTATAAAACAAATCTGGCCATACTGGCAACAGATGGGAAAGACCCAAATGGGAAATTTGGCTTAATATTTAAAAAGAAAAATATTTAAGTATGAGGTCATGTGTAACCTTAGCTGATACGTAACAACCCTGGCTCTGGTAAATTCAAAGTTGTTGACAGAGGGAGGGGAAAAGGGTGGAGGGGTTGGAATCGTTGAAAGACTTACTTTGTTGGGTAAGATAATGTTTTCCCCATTAGACAGAGATACAGTTTTCCCCACTCTTGGTCAGGGAAAGAATCTTACCCCTTGGGTTGAGATTTCTCAGTCTTACCCTCAAGGTGGGGAAATGTCATATTAAACATATTTGTACAAGTGTTTGTAGTCCAAAGGATTCAGTGTTTTATAAATATTAAGGGTGTACTGTATTTTACCGGCAATAAGCCCCCTCCCCACTTTANATGTCCTGGGAACAGGGTGGGTGCCTGCCATTAAGCCCCCCCTTAAAAAAGGACGTTTTGAATATAACCAATTGTTGGACTCCTATCTTTATGCAGGTGAAAAATGTGAAGTCGTTTGGAGAGATTTACTTGTGTCTGTGTTGTTCCTTTAAAATCTGCATCAACAGGTAGATTTAAGTCGTGTAACACCTTTCAAATTTTACAATACTGATAAGAACAACAAGCAATTATAAAATGACAATTGGTTAATTAGACCACAGGTACAGTTCAATTGTAACAACAACTTGAGATCACTGATTAGACACTCGTGGTTCTAGACACAACAAACCCCACGCTAAAATCACAATAGCGTCGCTGTGACATGTTGAGTTCCAAGCCATATTCAGAGTCTAGTTTCTGATTAAATCATCGATAAAAAAATTGAAGAAATAAATCAACTCAAAACGTTTCAATGTCAATGTCCAATTTGGCCTCACCTGCAGACGACATGTGCGCCTCGGTCCGCCGATATTTTCCTGTTTGTAAAGAGATTTTCATTGGAAAGTTACATATTATGTTACACCGAAGTATTTCCACATCAACCATGTCAAACCCTTCAAAACCTTTATTTTCATCGTAGATGACGCTGGAGAATAGATGTTTACCATCATATTCATTGCTTCAAACACGTCCGCCATTTTTATGAAGATTTTTTTTATTTGAAATTTTCTCGCACACCTTTGGTCATTACTAGGATACACTGCCGGGAATATCGAAAGTAATGACAAAACAACAATCAGAAGCCTTCTACTATACATGTTCGGGTTTGGTATAGCAACAACCCGACCTCACACTTCCTGATCAAAACCTACAGACCGAGAAACGGCATATGCCATGCGTAACAGCCTAAGGGTTAATAAACATGAAATTTTATTTGTGTCTTCTGGTTAATTGTACAACATAAACTTTTTTATGTTGAAACATTTACTGGACACTCAACAGTAGAGGTGAGATAAAATCCAAGATGGCGGACCATGTTGAAATTTTGTGAACAGGGGGGGTTGCTCGCAATTAAGCCCCCCCCCACACACACACACACACACACACTTTTGGCCCATCTTTTTTCTCAGGAGGGGGAGGGAGGTGGGGGGCTTATTGCTGGTAAAATATGGTACTCCAACTGAAAACAAAAAGGTTGGGGCGCAATATTGGAAAATAAGGTGATGGTATGGGGTGGGGGGGAGGGGATGTTAAATAAATAAAACATTGCTTCGTAAGTATAGGTATAGTATATGGTATGAAGCATTCCTATAATGTCATAGTGACAAAGAGACGTGGGTATATTGAGACGTCACAAATATCTTTTAAAGAAGACGTGGTGATATGGTCTGAGCCATGCGTTAGTTTTACCCAGAGAACAACTTGAAGTATTGTAGTATTTATATGACATAAATGGTAACAGTTGCCATAGTATGCTGTGCCAGTGTGGACTGGAAAGGGTATTGATCATCGGGCCAGGATTGCGAGGGATGGCAGGGACTGCGAACCAAACTACAGCACAGATTTATTCAGAGGTGGCATTGCTTCAGAGGAAGATATGTTTTACTAGACCAACATTTTACTTTGGAATTTGGAGTTGTTTCATATCATTGTGTAGATAAATTGGAGGTTGTTCAATGGTTTCTCCTAAACAATAACAGTTGTCAATGATACGAATGTTTTCTTACATTGTTGTTTTATCAGCAATGGAGGCTTTTCAGAAGTAAGACAGATTGACACTGTTGGAGTTGTTTCTGAATTGTATGTGCCAACATCTTCCCTATGGTGTCTGTAGGCCACAGCTAGGTCACAGTGCCCCTGAACACCAACATTTCCCGATTGAATTGCTGTGTTAGAAAGTGAGAGACTTTCGCCATTTTCTGAAGAGAAAGACGCTTAAAACTATTGTAATCTGGAAATGTCTCGCAATGTATTGGGACTTACCCGCGTGTATTCGTAATTGCTTGGAATTGTAATCTAAAAAGCTAGAAACTTCAGTACAGAATACTTTTACTGACATGACGCTCAGAGTCTTTCAGCAGAACCTGTATTCTTAGATAATCTTAGGGTATTCCTCGTGTTATATGAAACGGTAGAATGGGGAGTGTCACCCATCTGATCTTCAAGATGACATTGGTTTGACCTGTTAAATACGAAAGCATACTCTAACGTGTAACCAATCATATTCTAGCTAGTCTGTAACAGACAAGAACTTGAAGCAAATTACCGATAATATATATGTAAAAAAAGTTTTCACTCAACAACTCTTAGAATACGTTGAAAATAGTGAAACCTTAAACCACAATGTTGGATCTTGGTTTTTGAAAACCTGCTGCTAAATATAGATCAATACGAGGAGACGAGATAGATTTTTGGTATTCTGACTGGCTGTTATAACGATCTTAGAGTGATTCATTTGCCAACAGCTTTCCGCTGGTTTCAAAAGTCACTGCCTGGTGAAGGTGACTCCTGCTGCTGTTGATTCTCTACCAGATCAATGTCCAGCCACAGAATGTACATGTGAAGATATGTGAATGGGACAAGAATTCCGAGAAGATTTTAACATGTAGCCCCTGTAAGAGTACAATAGCATATACAATCTTTGTTGAAAGATTGGATAGTTTAAAAGGATTTGGCTGAATTTTACTTCAGTTTTCAACATTACAGGATATGCACTCTAAGCTTGCAGCATACCAGCATTCTTAATTAGTAGGCTCTCTACCACCTGGAGCAGTATATAAACACGTACTTGTACATACGCGGGACATCCTTCTGTAGAATGTTTCGCATTCCAAATAGCTTTACTATTGATTGCTTCAAAAGTGGAATTTAAATATTTCTGTGGCGTGGAGGGTCTGTGGGATGCGAATTGTTCTCCGAGAGTTAACGACATCATTCCGCTGAAGAATGCAGTGAAGGGATCCGCTGCACCAATTCACACTTCAGCATAAATATTTAAACATCTTTTTGAATTGTACATTGGAAGAAAATTAATCTAAATTTGTGAAGCACCATATATAATTGACTTGTCAGCAGTCATTGTGACACATGTGACAGTTGTGGCAAGGCTACCCACGTCACAGGGGGATCAGGATAGCTTTATGTGTATATCTGTATTATAAAGGTATAATGATGGGACTACAATGGGCACTATGAATGGGATTTATCGTCCCTGTAGTACCTGTGTATACTAAGTGTTGACTGAAAACCATCTCCCTCGGAGGTCGCCAATGGTATAGATACGTCTGATGGATTTCACAGCCTTTGGACAACAATTAGCACTAATGAGTGTTATGTACATTAGCCGTTGATGGACTTTGTGATATAATGGACACTAACGGCGGAACGTAATGCATATAATCGTCTGTACAATGACAACATGATCAGCTACTTTTCCCAACTTCATAGATAAAACACTGTATTTGTGATAACAGCACTTCAATACTTCACTCATGCCGGCGTTTTACAGTTCAACTAATATAATAGTAAAATCCACTGCTCTCAGATACCTTAAGACTACTTTGATATTTTGAAAACTTAAATATTTCTGAAATTGACACATTATGCTACCTGAAGCATTTCAGTGTTTTGTGCGATAGAAGCAAGATTCTTGGCTCTGAGACTGAAGTCACTTTGGTATTCTGTGTAACTAAATCTAGAATTCAACACTGCGATAGCTCACCATTTTGGTGTCTATTAGCTGAAGGTCTGAGCGGAACACATGAACACGCTACAATAGTTGGCGGATAACAACTTAAAAGTGACATTTTCACTGATGAGAGAACATAACAGTGGTTCATGAGAATACACAACACAGAAATAACTCGGTGATGTGGCACTCGTGTGAATACTAACATGTGCATAACCAGAAATACTTTTTATCCGTGGGCACCAGTTGATTACATTTCCAAAGGATTCAGCATTTCTCATAATTATACAGATCTCCAATGCCTTGCCATTGTGTTCAACCATAGCTCCATAGCGTATAAATGCTGGAAACCCCTATATCTTGTTTGTTCTGTTATTTCAATACTTTGAACACACTGAACAGACAGTACTCCATCTCTACGTAAGCTCATTTACTTTTCATCAATTTTCCATTGCAGAGTGATTTGTAATCATCTATGTAATTACACAGAATTCTTTCATTCCAATGATGACACGCTTCTAACATATAAGTAATGATTCTATAACTCGGCTACAAATTAGATGTTACATTGATCGATAGTGTTGGTGAAAAACTGTCAATTTATGCGTGGAGGCCCAGTGGACATGAGTGGACGTTGTTCGCATTGGTGGTATGTTGTGACCCTAGCGTGCGGATGTGTCTTGGATAATTCATTTGGCCATAAGCTGTCCCAGGAATAACAGACAATATGTTCTCAAAGTATACTAGACACGATCGGAGATTATCATGGCCGGGGTATCGTGCCAGGACCCTGGGCAAAATAGACGAAAACAGGCCAACACAGCCCGTCGTTATCGCTGGAGAAAAGGTATTATACATATTCATCCTATAAATTTGCATTAGAATCCTAACCAGTAAATATTTGCTATTGTTAACTTGCCTGTCTAAGTTGTCCTCCTAATGGCTCTTGCCATTTTCCCATCTAGAGGATATATTCCTCTGTCAGATTCTTATTTTTAAAAATGTTAATATACAGACATAAGCTACAAAATGTCTTTCAGAATTTGAAAGAATGTGATAAACACAAAGAGTCACATCTGACACCAGGTGTATATATATATAGTAAGATGTGTGTTGCTGTGTGATAAACACAAAGGGTCACATCTGACACCAGGTGTATATACATAGTAAGATGTGTGTCACTGTGTGATAAACACAAAGGGTCACATCTGATACCAGGTGTATATACATAGTAAGATGTGTGTCGCTGTGTGATAAACACAAAGGGTCACATCTGACACCAGGTGTATATATAGTAAGATGTGTGTTGCTGTGTGAAAAACATCCTCTATTTTAAAGGTTGTACATTTTATTCTATAAAGTAAAATATCTTTACCCAAAAATGTTAAGAACAATCCTAACAACTGAATAAGTTAAAACATATCATAGGTTTAATTGTGGCTTTGAACTTTCATACATTATTTTTAAACTACCTTCTGCCCTGTTGTACCCTTTAGTTTGATTTCAACATGCAACATTCTGAATATATGGCTTAAAAGCCTTGAAATTTCAACTTATGAGTTTTAGCCTGTAGGTAGTTTTCCCCAAATGTTAATAGGAAATACTGATCTCAGTTGTCAGCCTTAAATAAATGGGTTGCTAGAAGCTACACTGTCTTTGATTTTAATGCACTGCAAATTTATGTTTTCCCACATATATTGTATTATTCTGTATTTTCATTTTTACATAAGTGAAAATATTCAAGCTTTAGTCATTTGCTGTAAAAACCTGTTGATCTGAATTTGTGTATACATTTGGCAAATGATGAGTTCAGAATATTTCACAATCTCACTCACGTTCAAGATGCATGTCTAGAAATGTGCAGTAAAAGCTTAGAAATATCTTTTAGAACAAGAAAATTCAATCAATACAAATATTGTTGTGATATGTGTCTTCTGCAAGACAAACTTTTAAAATATGGCGAATCTGAATTTATTTATTTATTTGCAATTTGTTGTCTTAAAGAAAATGATTTGAAATGCTTCTATAAATTCTGCAGCTGCAGGAAAACAGACAGTGATGCTCAAAACCGGAATAATCTGAAATAATTTATTTACTTTGCGAGTTATTGTCTGAACGAAAATGATTTGAAATGCTTCTATGAATTCTGCAGCTGCCGAAAGCGAACAGTCTCAGTGATGCTCGCCAGCACATTTACACCGTAATTGCCATTACCGTTGATGACACAGTACATGATAACCACCTTAGAATCCATTCCTCACCAGACTTTGTGTCTGTCTTCCTACAAACAGTTGACAACAACTGGATTATAGACCACAAGACACTGCCTACCGTAGCCTGCAGACCAAAGCAAGACTCTGTACCTACTGTCTCTTGATTCAATGTATAATTTTGAGATACAATGTAGCGTACTGTACATGTATAAACAAATGCCATTGTTTCATCTCTCTCTGCAGTTGGCTTGGTTCGTATGTGTATAAAGCCATTATCTGGTGCTAGTTTGAGGCGATACTTATCAGACAAAAGTCAAGACCATTGTATTTGTTTATCAGCTGAACTGTTCAGAAGGAAACATTCATTTGATGCAATGTGATACTCTGGTAGTATTGAATCCTACCAACATCATCATTGTACTCAACAATGTTGTTTTTTTACCTTTTTTTATGTAGATGAAGATATTGATTCATTCGCAAATTAAGATCAATGAAAAATGTTTTGGCGAATTTTACCAAGATTTGTGAGATAGGACATGATTTAAACTAAAAATACCGATAAATTCATGAATATATGCAATTTTTTTGCATTGAAGGACAATTATTTCAGCAAAAGTAGAATATTAAAATGTGTAACACATACTTTTCTGCTTGCATTTCTCCAGTAAAGTGTTGTTATATATAATGGGTAGTTGGTGATACCTCATAGGTAACCAGTAAAGTGTTGTTATATATAATGGGTAGTTGGTGATACATCATAGGTAACCAGTAAAGTGTTGATATATATAATGGGTAGTTGGTGATACATCATAGGTAACCAGTAAAGTGTTGATATATATAATGGGTAGTTGGTGATACATCATAGGTAACCAGTAAAGTGTTGATATATATAATGGGTAGTTGGTGATACATCATAGGTAACCAGTAAAGTGTTGATATATATAATGGGTAGTTGGTGATACATCATAGGTAACCAGTAAAGTGTTGATATATATAATGGGTAGTTGGTGATACATCATAGGTAACCAGTAAAGTGTTGATATATATAATGGGTAGTTGGTGATACATCATAGGTAACCAGTAAAGTGTTGATATATATAATGGGTAGTTGGTGATACATCATAGGTAACCAGTAAAGTGTTGATATATATAATGGGTAGTTGGTGATACATCATAGGTAACCAGTAAAGTGTTGATATATATAATGGGTAGTTGGTGATACATCATAGGTAACCAGTAAAGTGTTGATATATATAATGGGTAGTTGGTGATACATCATAGGTAACCAGTAAAGTGTTGATATATATAATGGGTAGTTGGTGATACATCATAGGTAACCAGTAAAGTGTTGATATATATAATGGGTAGTTGGTGATACATCATAGGTAACCAGTAAAGTGTTGATATATATAATGGGTAGTTGGTGATACATCATAGGTAACCAGTAAAGTGTTGATATATATAATGGGTAGTTGGTGATACATCATAGGTAACCAGTAAAGTGTTGATATATATAATGGGTAGTTGGTGATACATCATAGGTAACCAGTAAAGTGTTGATATATATAATGGGTAGTTGGTGATACATCATAGGTAACCAGTAAAGTGTTGATATATATAATGGGTAGTTGGTGATACATCATAGGTAACCAGTAAAGTGTTGATATATATAATGGGTAGTTGGTGATACATCATAGGTAACCAGTAAAGTGTTGATATATATAATGGGTAGTTGGTGATACATCATAGGTAACCAGTAAAGTGTTGATATATATAATGGGTAGTTGGTGATACATCATAGGTAACCAGTAAAGTGTTGATATATATAATGGGTAGTTGGTGATACATCATAGGTAACCAGTAAAGTGTTGATATATATAATGGGTAGTTGGTGATACATCATAGGTAACCAGTAAAGTGTTGATATATATAATGGGTAGTTGGTGATACATCATAGGTAACCAGTAAAGTGTTGATATATATAATGGGTAGTTGGTGATACATCATAGGTAACCAGTAAAGTGTTGATATATATAATGGGTAGTTGGTGATACATCATAGGTAACCAGTAAAGTGTTGATATATATAATGGGTAGTTGGTGATACATCATAGGTAACCAGTAAAGTGTTGATATATATAATGGGTAGTTGGTGATACATCATAGGTAACCAGTAAAGTGTTGATATATATAATGGGTAGTTGGTGATACATCATAGGTAACCAGTAAAGTGTTGATATATATAATGGGTAGTTGGTGATACATCATAGGTAACCAGTAAAGTGTTGATATATATAATGGGTAGTTGGTGATACATCATAGGTAACCAGTAAAGTGTTGATATATATAATGGGTAGTTGGTGATACATCATAGGTAACCAGTAAAGTGTTGATATATATAATGGGTAGTTGGTGATACATCATAGGTAACCAGTAAAGTGTTGATATATATAATGGGTAGTTGGTGATACATCATAGGTAACCAGTAAAGTGTTGATATATATAATGGGTAGTTGGTGATACATCATAGGTAACCAGTAAAGTGTTGATATATATAATGGGTAGTTGTTGATACATCATAGGTAACCAGTAAAGTGTTGATATGTATAATGGGTAGTTGGTGATACATCATAGGTAACTAGTAAAGTGTTGATATATATAATGGGTAGTTGGTGATACATTATAGGTAACCAGTAAAGTGTTGATATATATAATGGGTAGTTGGTGATACATCATAGGTAACCAGTAAAGGAATTATTAAAAACAAAGGGACAGGAGACCTTGAAATATATGGTAAGCGTGATGGCAAACGAAGCATTAAGGGCCACGTGCACTGTATTATGGTTTTACTGTTATACAGCATTATTCAACCACTGATAAGAATGTGATTGTCAAAACATTATGTAAATTGACTTAACCCTTTCACCCCTACGTAACTTGAGTAGACTGCCATACATTTATCTGGTCGAGTCCGTTATGGTCTACAGTGGTAGATAAAATTATAGAACTATCGTATTGATGTTGAGGTCGATTGATTTTTTTGATGATCAGGATTGGACAATTCTCACAACTTCATTTTAGTTTCATCAGCAAGATGTGATCAGGATATCAGATATCAGAAATCAATGGAAGCAAAGCCTGTTGAGTTTCTAGCTGTTTCTTCATTCTGCAAGTCCTGGGTAGAAAAACTCAGGCTGCAACAGCCACTACAGTGCTTGGGCCTTTTCATTTGTCGTTTGTACATTATACACATTTTATTTGGTGTCAGTAGTTAGCCAAACTTGTTCTTACATCCTCATGTGTCAGTCTGAAGTAGAAAACTTGTTTCCTAATGTGTCTGTCTTTAGTAAGTAACTTGTTTCCTCATGTGTCTGTCTTTAATAAATAACTTATTTCCTCGTGTGTTTGTCTTAAGTAAGTAACTTGTTTCCTCGTGTGTCTGTCTTTAGTAATCAACTTGTTTCCTCATGTGTCTGTCTTTAGTAAATAACTTGTTTCTTCATGTGTGTCTTTAATAATAAACTTGTTTCCTTGTGTGTCTGTCTTTAGTAATCAACTTGTTTCCTCATGTGTCTGCCTTTAGTAAATAACTTGTTTCCTCATGTGTCTGTCTTTAGTAAGTAACTTGTTTCCTC